ACCCAAGTGTCACTCACCGATTTTAACCAAACTTGGCACATCGTTAGAGCACTAAAAAATATTGAACCCGTGTTTTTTTATTTTGGCCGAATCCACTGTTAAGGGGTAGAAACCACCCCTAATAACCCCTAACCAGGCTAACCCACCTAACTCTGGGTAGAGCGAGTTTGATTAATTATTTTTTCACAAGAAAGTTAACTTCTCAACCCGGATAGGCTAACCCATTTATAACCTGATATAACCGATCCCCACAAATCACTATATCCCTTATACACCATCCCTATCAACCCAACCCCTAAGCAGGCTAACTCACCTAGCCCTGGGTAGAACGAGTTTCATCAGCTGCTTTTCTATAGGAAAATAAAGATCATAACCAGAGAAAGGTCTACAAAATTTTACTTTGTAATAAAACTTTTGTATAAAAAATGAGTTAAAACCTGTAAATTTCATAGAAATAAATAAAACCGCAGCCAACTCGTTGGAAGTAAGCTTCTTCAAATAAAATGTTCATTCGCAAGCTTTTTTTTGTAACAACGACTATACTTTTCTTGGATTATCTTTGTATTTTTTTTAAGGTTTAAAAAGTTGAAAAAAATCTTTTGACCTCAAATATTTTGAGAATAACAGTAACTGTGATTTGAAATTACTTTTTGAAGAACCGTCGACATTAGCGTGACCTAATGTGCACCGCGTGGAGGTTATCGATCGGATTTTGCACATCATTTGGCCATGAAAAGGGCCGTTTGGAATTTCAAAAGATTTTTTATAGTAAGTGGAGTTCGTTTAAATATCATAAAATTAGTGAAGACAAAAGTAACACGAAACAATAAAAAATGTACTATTATTTAAAATATAAAATATTCATAATGAAATTACTATTATTATTTTAATATTTATGTGGAATTAACGTATTGCTTACAATAGTGTGGTTTATCGACATTGTCAAGAGCAAAAAAGTGGTTTATACAAAGACATTTGGTGCACCATGCACATATGACAATCCCAAATAGAATACAAAAGTGGCATTTAACATCAGTATGTTGAAAACAATACTGAACAGGGATTTACCAACTATTTGGTTTTTCAAGTACGTAACCACTTTTGTACCATCCATATTTGAACATGTTTGTAAATCGTGGTGAAGAAAACTGGTTATGCGTAAGAGATTGTAATTTTAAAATGTTATTACGTAAATGTAAGTTAATGCTAAAATTGTACAACATAACTATATCTGAAAAGTTTTTTACAAAATTTTTCCAAGGTCTAAATCCATAGACATCTAAAGGCTGTATCATTCCCGTCGTTCCAGCAGGTATAGTTTTAATTTGAATATTTTTCATACCTGTATCCAATTTTTCAAACACTTTTTCATTTTGTCCAGTCCAAGAATCTAAAATTAATAATTTAATTAATAATTTAATTAGTTTTCCTGATTTTGAAGGTGAAACATAAATATTATCTGCTTTATAAATAGTAGATTGTACCAATGGTCCAAATTTACCATCAGGTTCTTTTAAAACTATTAACAAAGGTGAGTGTAGTTTTCCATCTGCTGAAACGATTGGCTGAATTGTATAACTATGTGTTAAAGAATTTATCGACTGTGCTAGACATTCTACTTTTTGGGTGCCTATGATTGATAAAGTACGGCCAGCGTGAACCTCTAGATTTAACCCTGATTGGTCAGAATTATAAATATTTTTTTTACCTCTTGCTTCCACTTCTGACCATACCTCGTCTACAAATTCAGAAGCTGCTTGTTTCAATTCGTATTGATTTGTCAACTGTGCAGTAGTAACAAACTTATTAATTTTTCTTGAAACTATTCCATGTTTCACTTTAAAATTATGCACCCATTTTGGCGACGCTTTAAAATATTTTGAAGCTAATTGTACACTTTCTTTTGCCAATAACCCCCATCTTTTTAAATCGATATCATGAACAGGTAAACGATTTTCAGTAGCATTATTGAATTGCTGTAAAACGTATTTTGAAATATTGCGTAACTTTTCTAATCTGGATCCTCCTTCTTCTATTTCTTTTTCCCATCTGTACAGCATACTCTCATGTTTTACCATCTTAAAATTTTTCTTTACTGAATCCAAACTTCTCCTTTTTTTAGTACTACTTTTACCCCAAAAAGTAACTGCTCGTTGTTTATAATCCAAATCGACATCCTCTGATTGGTCAGAAATTTCTTTTTCTTCATAGTCATCGAAATCTTCTTCTACTTCATCTTCCACGCTTATAGCATTAGCTTCTACGCTATCATCATAGTAACATAAAGTTTCGTAATTTTCAACAAAAATTTTAGTATTCGATGAAACTTTTATTAGGTCTGTTAAATACGAAGCAAAAGATCGTTCTTCATCTGTTATTTGACTTTGGATATTATATGCTGGGTCATTAAATGCAGAATACAATAAATTCAAAATATTTTTTGGGTTCATCAGCATGGTGGGCTATTTGAATTATTATTGAATAAAAAGAAAGAAAAAGATACTCGTAAGTTATCAAATTATTTATTCCAGACGGTTCTTCTGTTTCTCTTTGAATTTATTTCTTAAAAGTTGATATAAAAAATGATAGTAGATAAATTTAAATTATGTTCTGTTTTTAGTTGGTATAGGTATTTTAAATGATGCTTAAGATTGACGTTTCGATATTATTCCTTAGAATCAATTAATATCATCTGATTGCGCGTAAACTTAACCCTGAAGGTACATACAGGACTAAAATACCCGGATGTAAAATTGAAAAATGTGTGAAAAATTCACTTTTGATCTTGTAAATCTCTAAATATAATATTATGTAACAGGCTGCCGCTTAGTCGATAATCTCTTGAAAGTGCCCTTTATTACGACTAGACGAAGCCTTGTTATCTATGTGCTCAAAGCACAGTAACCTACCTTGCCTCGGAGTGCGCCTGCGCAGAGTCTCCTTACTACTCCGAGTTGGGTTCCCCCAACTCACCGCTTGGCGGCGCTGTCGCCCCTTGCTAGTAGCGCTCGTGCGGCCGCCGCTGGAACCTAGGTTGTCGATTCGCGTCTATCGGTATTCGTGCTACGCAACCGGCGAATTCGAATCCACTGTAAATAAACACTGACGCGACCTCCGGACAAAGGAAATAACGACTATTAGATTCAAAAATAACGATTAAAATGCACTTTATTCATGCGACTAATTTACACGAGGGTCTGGCCGAGAGACTTACGCACGCTCGCGTGAATGACAAGGCACGCAGATTGAGAGAGAGAGAAAACCGCGATTACCGCGAACTACCTGCTCGCACGCAACAAATAAATTCTTCGCGCTCGCTGCGCGGATTCGCATGCAAATTAACAACAAATGAAAAGGGGGAAAAGGTGCACCTACCGCAAAAACGACGAGGATACGATGGCCAACCGTATCCGATCAACACGCTGTTAATAAACTGCTCCGCTGCTTGCTGCACCACCTCGATTGCTGTTGCTGCTGTTGTTGTTGCTGCTGTCGCTGCTACTTCTGCTGTTTCTCCTGCTGCTGTTACTGCTACTTCTGCTGCTATTGCTGCTGCTACTGCACCCACGCACTCAAGTTCGCAAAGTCACCAGGAAAACGAGAAACTCACGAAAAATTGGAGGTTAGCGCGACGCTGACAGACTGAGTAACACAGTCATACTGCCGGTCGGAGCCTCCCCTCCCGGTCATTGCCCCTACGCCCTCTCTCTCTCTCTCGCGAACCGAACGCGGCTCCTCTCGCTTAGCCGCTCGTTAACCTCGCGCGAGTCTAACGATTTTCGGTAATCGTTGCAATTTATACTTTAATAAAAAAATGTTTGTCATATTTCCAGAAAAATTTACTTTTGTTAAAAAATATTATATTTAATAAAATATAAAATATATTTAAATTTAATAAAATAGAAAATTAAATCAAGATACGAATTGTAAAAGAGACCGTAAATACATCCACAGTGTTCCAAACTGAAGCTTTAGGATAGTACACCTTAAAGGTTAATTTAAATTAAGTTTTTTATATTTTTTATGTATTGAAAGATAGAAGCATTTTAATACTTGGAAATTGATAGGGGCGGTTTATGAGGATTGTGCGGATTTGTGCGGATGAGGTACATCAAGGTTCAGGTTGTGTTGGCCTATCAGTGGTTATGATCTTAATTTTTTTACAGAAAAGCAGCTGATGGAACTCGCTCTACCCAGGGCCAGGTAGGTTAGCCTGCTTAGGGGTTGATAGGAGTGATTTATGAGGATTTAACGGGTTTTTTAGGATAAGATATATCAAGGTTAAGGTTGTGTTGGCCTATCAGTAGTTATGATCTTAATTTTCTTACAGAAAAGCAGCTGATGAAACTCGCTCTACCCAGGGCTAAGTGAGTTAGCCTGCTTAGGGGTTGATAGGGATGGTTTATAAGGGATATAGTGATTTGTGGGGATCGGTTATATCAGGTTATAAATGGGTTAGCCTATCCGGGTTGAGAAGTTAACTTTCTTGTGAAAAAATAATTAATCAAACTCGCTCTACCCAGAGTTAGGTGGGTTAGCCTGGTTAGGGGTTATTAGGGGTGGTTTCTACCCCTTAACAGTGGATTCGGCCAAAATAAAAAAACACGGGTTCAATAATTTTTAGTGCTCTAACGATGTGCCAAGTTTGGTTAAAATCGGTGAATGACACTTGGGTAGGGTTACTTGTTAGACTAACTCATAAATCAATAAAAAGTGTCCATGACAGTTGAAGGGAGAACGTTCAGCTCATTTTTGAAATCGTTATGAATGATAGATAGTATTGTCTTGATGTTCTTTTCTCTGTTAAATATTTATGTCTTTATAAGTGTGTATTTATGTAGAATACATGTATAAATACAATTATTTAAATGATTTTGTCATATATGATATATTGTTGAAAATGTGTATACAACTTTGTCAAATACTTCTAAGTATTTTAAAAAAACCATACAAAAATTTATTACATAGGATTTTCAAATTTAAAACAAAAATTACAGTACCTTTACTTGTTTTTCGATTTCAACAAGACACATTCGACAATTACCCGCAACAGCCAGTCGTTCATGGTAGCAAAACCTAGGTATTTCAACTCCAGCTAGCGCTGCTGCCTAAGAACAGAATTACATATATAGTTTTAATCATATTATTTTTGAATAAAAAAAGCTTATGTCATAATCACTTTCATTTTAATATTATTTCAATTCAGTAAAACCATAATATTCAAGAATATTATTTTTATTCTTCACGATATAATTTATAATGAGCGGGCTAATTAATTAATTTTTATAACTTGCAAGAACTTTTGGCTATAGGTCAACAAAGAGAGGAAACAAAGACGAACTCACAGCTAGCTTTCGGTTTTATTTTCGTCTATCCCAATCCCAAACTCGGTGCTTTGCTATCCAAGAAGCAGGTAGGACGGAGGGGAAATGTATAAACTGCGTTAAAATAACTAAGGAACATCGGATCCGGATGATTCCGGCTAATGTATAGCAGGTCTCTGAAGAAAGATAAATTTTTTTGGAAAAAGTAGAGAGGATACATTTACGGTACAATTATTTAAGACGTGCGTTCGGCAGGAGTGGATGGCTACGCTCTTCGACATCGTCTTTGAGAGATCGCAGTGGAAAATGGCTTGAACACTTCGACCTTAAAGCATTTTTTTCTTTTGTTTTATTTACTCCACATTAATTTACAATCTGTAATATCGAGACAATAAATAAATGATATTACTATTTCACATATAATACATATTTTATAGCAGGATACTCTAGTGTGTATTCTGTCTTTTTTTTGTATTGTACATGTAGCGTATGTTTAATTTATTTATACTTTATTTTTTCATTATTTTATGTTTCTTGAATCCGGCCTTGGCTAAAGATGTCTTTAGTAGTTAGCTCAAAAGTATATTTAGATGTTTTTGCAGTCTCATATGGTATTCATCGTAAAACGCTTTGATTTCTTCTTTCACTGTTGCAATCTGTAATCATTTGAGATGATGCCGTTTAGTGATAATCATGAAGTCCATGTGATGTTTCAAAGGACTTTTCATTTAAATCTTTCCAAGATTTCAATGTTCGAATTTAAAACGGCACCTCATTGTTAAATGCCATAAATCCATATTGGTTATGTTATTGTTTTATATAACAGTATTTTATTTTATACTGTTAGTTCCAATTTTTCTCCCATGAGTCAGTATATTATTCTCCATCTCAATCCTAGTTATTTATGTTTCCTGAATATACCGTGTGTCCTAAAAGTAACGATACACTTAATAAATATTACAATAACTTTCTTAAAAAAAGGTGAAAGTCATTACTTAAGTTACTTTTTATGACGAATCCAGTGGTGATCTTGGATTTGACCTTGAACTCTTCCTTCAAGATCATTTCAAGGTCAACTTTGTTTTTTTATTAAATAGGAACTTCTATTTTTGACAACGGCAATCAAGAGCGGGACATTTTATGTCCAAAAATATGCTCAGGTCATAGGTCAAGGTGACTTCAAACCTTCAGCTGAAGGTTATTAAGTTTTACGAATGGACCGGTTCTGATCTGTACATTTTGGCTTAGGGGTATTAAGAAAATTGGAAATGTTTTGGTGGTAACAGTATTCAGTGATGACCTTAAATTTGACCATGAGTTAGATCTCGAAGGTTCTTCTAAGGACAAAGGTCAACTTTTTTTAATGGAAACGGCTATTTGTAAGAATAATAATCAATAGAGCGGTAAATTTTACTCAAACGTGCTATGAATTAACTTCAGTTTGTGTAAAGTTGGAACCTTCAAATAGTAAGATCATTTTTTTAATTTAACCTTACACACAAATAACGACGTGGACGTAGTTAATTCAGTTCACTTTCGAGTACTCGATTAGCGTGAGTCCCTTTGCCGCTCACATTTAATTATTAGAACCAATAACACAAGCCGACAAATCTCAGAACCAGAGAGCAGACATAGTGTACCTGAAGAATTTTGATGCGCTGATTTTGAATCCGAGCTCAGAATTTTCCCTATATGTCACATTTTCGAGATATCATAACCTAAAAGTGCAAAAATACCATTGTTTGCTATTTTCGAGGTTACATAGCATCTAGACTAAATTTCTTTTTAAAACGCGCCAGTGCATTATAAAGAAACAGTCTTGCCCTTTGAAATTCATTTTTCAGATTTAAGATGTCTTTTTTTTCATCGAGATATGATTAATTGAAGTTAAGTATTTTCGCAGTTTCATAACAACGTTAAAACAGCCTATATAGTATATGTGAGGCTATAAGCCTAATTTATAAGTGATAGCATTCGACCGAAAAAATGTGTACATGGGTTTTTGGGGTCGCTGATCTCGAATACGAAGTCAAATTTTGAAACTAAGCTGACCGTAAACCCTGTAACATGCGAGACTATAACACAAAACACGTAAACCCAAATTTTCTTAACCTTTAAGCCCAACCCGGTAACTAGCAAGTCCTCAATCGCCTAGTGTTACACCCCACCTATTTTAACCTTTAACACCCTCGACACTTTTTACCTAGAATATTTTTTCATCCATGAAGTCTGTAATTTGTGAAGTGTCAACCAACTTTTTTAGGTATTGTATTATACCTCAATGAGTTAAGCATAATTCAAGAATTTTTTAACAATAAAGTAATACTCAATCCATTAGGTAGAGAGTTCAAGCAGCTGCTGATCAGGTTTGTAGGTTACGTTTGATTGCCGGCTAATTGATGAATATCAAGATCAGAAAATTCCCATTCTTCTTTTCATTTGTTGTAATCACCGTAAGCATTCCAACTTCGCTTAATATGTGAAACTTTTTAGACAACCAAAACAGAAAATGGTTCTTTTCTGATTTTTTCCTGTTAGGTATGCACTTGAAAGAAAAATAGTTTACTGTATGCACATGTGAAAAAATCTTTTTTTTGTCTACGATGTCTTTGTGTTCATATTTGAGTGATAGACTCATGATCAAATTGATTCAAAGTGATTGGATGCAGGGTCAAAGATATTTATTATGGATCGAAATTAAATCTAAACATTTTTTGAAATCCTTCCCGGTCATGTATACGCATTTATGGCAAATGAATCCATGTGAATACGATTGACAAAATATATCTTTTTGAACTAATCCTTCCATGTTAGAGATCATGCTTGAGTGACGGGCTAATGGTTGGATGCATAGGTAAAGATCAATATCCACTTTATTTCTTTCGTTCTTACAATCACGCTTTTTGTCATACATTCTTAATATTTTATAGTTTATAACGGGGTTTAGCCCGATTTACCCAGTAAATATAAAAAAAGTAAAAAAAGAAAGAATAAATGGGGAATGTCAGAGCGAAGTCTGAAGCCTCCTGGATTGTCCGTCTTCCCAGGTCCGGTGCTCGTCACGCTGGTGATAGGACAGCCAGATCCGCGCAGATTCGTAGTATTGGCCAAATAACGCGAAAGTCGAAGATTCAAGAGCGGGCATCGGCGCGAGAAAAACGGAACGTTCGAAAAAGGCGGCGGGATACGATTAAATAAAAAAAATACTTACGGTGAACAGTATTTTTAATCAATAAAAGAGGATGGATAGAGAGAAAGTAAACCAACAAGTTGGTACTTACAATGATGGTGCTCATCTTCTAGGCACGCAAACGAGTCACACAGTTTGCGTTGACGCGCACGCACGAATTGTAGGGCACCACGTACACTATGCGGCTCGGTTTCTTCTAACGAAAGTTCTTCGCGCAACAAAGTCCTGCTCTACCAGCTACGACCCCCGTGCGTAGATCCTCTGCAGGGCCAGGCGACGTCGCAATTCTTCTCTGGATAAAAGCACACATTCTAAGATCGAAGGAAAAGGGAGGCGTTGGGTTACAACTAAGATCCGAGCAAGAAAAATCGTCGGGACAAAGAACTCTGTCCGCTCGCTTGCGAGTCCACACAACAACAACTCTCTTGCGTACCGCCGGCTCGACTACTCGACTTCGTCCTAATCAGTCAATCAGTGCGCGCGGTCACTTGCTAAGGCGCGACTATGTTTCTCTCTCTCTCTCTCTCTCTCTCTCTCTCTCTCTTTCCGCGCCTTGCTGTCGCGCACGGAGGTATCCCTGCGTACTCACATCTCTCTCTCACCTCACTCACCTTATATCCGAATAGAAGGGTAATTACATATGCAGATATAAGTAATAAATGAATATAACCATAATAAATTCATAAATACATAGGATAAGTTCGGAAGAATATGTTATATTTACATATCGTTACTAGGGAGAAAGAGATTTAACGAGTTTGCAATTTCACTCGTTATAAGTTATAGTTATAGTTTTGAAATAAGATTTGAATGAGATTTCTCTTTTTATTACAACGTCATCAGTTAAATCATTATTATCATTTATATCATTATTATAAGTTACATAAAAATGAATAATCAAAATAAGTTAGATAAAAAAACAAATTCTAGGCTTCCTTGTGCTAGTAAGGTTGATTCACATTCTGTTATATATGCGGGAAGTACGATACGGAGAGTTATCGTAGATCAATCAATAAATCAATTGAAGCTTTATATTTAAAATGTTATGGAATTTCCATGATCAATTTGGACAAATCATGAACTCCAAACTCGATATGTAGTTCTTGTAGACAGGTTTTATTGAAATGTGATGAAATAAGTACGGAGACGTACATTATTATTGAATCAACTATTTGGCGTGAACCAGAAGATCACGTCACGGATTGCTATTTTTGCTTATGTAATACAAAGGATTTTTCGAAAAAGTATCTTAACAAAATTCGTTATCCTGTTGTCAAAAGTGTAACACCAGCCAAGATGGGTAAAATAAATCGATCTATCAAAAAAATTGATAAATCGGTTCACGAGAAAATGGATACCGGTGATGTACAAGAAAGAAAAAATTTTTCATCAGAAGATGAAATGACTCAAGTGACGAAGCTCCTAAGTTGTTCAATCGAGACGAACTAAGCGACTTAATTCGGAATCTCAATCTACCAAAAGAAAAAGTTGAGCTTCTAGCTTCTATATTAAAAGAAAGAAATCTACTACAACCGGGCACGACGGTACCAGTTTACAGAAAAAAAATCAGAAGTTTGTTAAATACTTTTCAAAA